CGTGACAATAATTTTATTTGAAACAACTTTTCGCCAAACTTCACTTTCCTTTAAACAGATCTTTTTGTGAAGGACCAGAAAACCTTGGTGTTAAGTGAAGATCACGAGAAAACCCAAAAGTGATTGCCCTGTCACGTTTGTCACACACAGCTGTTTTGCCGTCCTCTTCTTCCTGCCGTCCTGTTGCGTAAACTCAATCCCCCGCGGTTTTATTTTCATGCGCGCGCACTCGACGATCTCCAAAGCGAAAATAGAGGGTCTGTGAACAGGCTAGACTATGAATGGACTGCTTATTAATTTAAAATGTTTTACTCTGACAGATGGTTAATATTTATTTACAAACCTGGAGATAAGCGGTGAGGTTGTGAATTCTTTGTGCATCCAAGAACTAAAACAGGGAATAATAATATTTTTAAAAACAATTTCTACTGTATAAAGACCTCCTAGACGGTTTAACAGTCAAACCTGTATTAACCCTTTAAGTCCCAGTAGTGACCAACATCAATTTTCTCCTAACAATATCCATAGATTGTAAAGTGTAACATCTATGAGAATTAATCAAATGATCACAAAGAGAAAAATTTCTGATCTTTTATCAATTTCTCCCAACTAACTCTGTAAGGAAATGTATAGAGATCAGTTTGGAGAATTTGTTTGTGGATATTGGGGCTTAAAGGGTTAAACGAATCTCTATAAGCCCTCTAAAAACCCCTTACGAAGATGTATAACCCCAGGGCTTATAAACGGCATTTTACAGTATAAGTGTATTTCACCTCCCTTCTTTGTTAAGAACTCTACTAAAGTGTGAAGATATCTACAAGCTATGGATGCCTGTACACAGACGATGATATCTACAAGCTCTGGATACTAAATGAAAGAACTGAGTGCAGACAGTTTAATGGTACATTTTGAAGGAAGAGTTTACTCGGTTACCGGTCGTTTCGATGCAAGTAGTTCCCATACAAGTTTTTTCAGTCGAGGTGTAAATAGTTTCAATTACTTCAAGGTTCAAAGAAAGAAGAATATTCACCCAAAATCTTTTCCTTGTTCACGTGCAAACTAAACTTGAAGTGATCAACATTTTTGTGCAGTTTCACTGCCTGAGTTGAAACGACTTGAATCGAGACGACTTTGTATCGAAACGACCGGTTTCCCTGGGATCAACTGAATGAACTGTCTAGGATTAACATAGTAAGAGTCTCGGGCCTGTTTACATGGAGGTGGGAGACCACAGGTAGCTGGGGTAACCCGCCTGTCTATATAATCTCGCATTTTAATTTGATCACGTTTACACGATAGGTGGGGTGACCGTATGAGAGGGATTATGGACAGGCGGGTTACCCCACCTAAGCGTGTTACCTCACCTACCTGGGGTCTCCCATGTCCATGTAAACAGACCCCAAGTCTAGTATTTAGTATTTAGTAGTCAGTTTCTCATAGTTGGCTATTTACTGCTTACTTACCTTCCGAATGACGTAGGATGGTTCCAAATGGCCAATGGTTTTGATGTACTGTTTTATGGCTCCATCGTGATCTCCTTTGCTAAAAAAAAAAAAAAATTCGAAGGCAACATATGAAACATATTACTAATTACATTAATCCACTAGCTGTTTAAGCGTTTATTGAGAGCACACCTTGATATTATCTGTGATCTATACCTAAAGAGAAAAAAAACACTTTGGGTATTGTGAAGAACAACTCCCCTAAACCGACTGTCAGCTAATCAGTTTACCGAGTGTTCCCACCACGAGCATTCACCATCTGTCCACCAACAGTTGGCCGATAGTCGGCACAGATAACTATATAATTATATTTTTTTTATCTACGCAGGTGGAACATGATCTTCCTGGTGATTATCTGTGCAGTAGCCATTGTCAGAGTCAAAGTTTATAGTTGTGTACCTTCAGTTGATGGTATTAAACCCTAGTTATTGGAAGGTCAATTAAGATACAAGGGTAATCTTTCCTTATAGCACCCTCCGGACACGTAAAAACTCACTCAGTTGCCGCCAAAACCTGACAGAAGTAATTAATGACGAATGTACAAGTCGACTCTTCCTTTCACAGATTGCTGATAGGACTAGCTTGAGAAAACAGCCGACATTTCGCGACGACACGGTTGACTTTCCCGCGAGATGACGTCTGAGGAACGAGTGCAAAAATTCCACACTGATGACTTGTCACTACCCAGATCTGGGTGGTGCTTCTGATTGGTTTTCCAACCACTTCGCGAAGAATCCAACTGTTGCCTCGCAAAATGTCAGCTGTTTTCTCGCGCAACATTAGGACCGGCATTTGAGTAAATACTGTTTCATCTTTGAAAGGTGTCGCTGCGTTATTGAAGGTCAGAATAAACGAGTGATGAACGGCAGGGATCAACTTTAATTGCCCACTATAGGTGCTGTTGAGAGAACAGTTTTCTTACCTGTACAAGTGGTCTCCATATTGAGTAAAGATTTCAATCAGTCCATCAGAATAGTGCTGACTTTTGGCCAAACTTAGGGGGATGAAAAAAAAATCAATGCATGATTGTACATGTACTGTGTAACCAAGAATAAAAGGCTTATGAAATTTAACCCAATAAGCCCATGCAGTATGTGACCAGTATACCCGGAGAGGGGGGGGGGGGGGCTGGGGTTAATTTTTGCTGGGTATTTGCCGCTGGCCTCTCAGAACCCCTACCCCATTATAGTCTATTCTGTGGCCATATTCTAGGCTCCACCATAGTCACTTTTGGAAAAAAGGCAATTTTCGCATCCCAACTTCG